AGGCATGTGCCACCATGCCCGGCTAATTTTTTCTATATGTTTTTAGTTGTCCAGCCAATTTCTTTCTATTTTTAGTAGAGACGGGGTCTCGCTCTTGCTTAGGCTGGTTTCGAACTCCTGAGCTCGAACAATCCGCCTGCCTCGGCCTCCCAGAGTGCTAGGACTATAGGCATGAGCCACCGCGCCCAGCCAAGAGTGGATATCTTATGAGTAAAGCATTCAGTCTTTCTCTATTTAGTATGATGTCTGTCTTTTTACCATTAAATATAGTATCAGCTAAGGATTTTTTGTATATGCTTTTATCAGGTTGAGGAAGTTTCCTTTATTACTCAGTTAAGTGTTTTTATCATGAAGGGTGTTGGATTTTGTCAAATGCTTTTTCTGTGTCTATTAAAATAATCATGTAGTTTTAATCCTTTAGTGTATTAACATGGCATAATAGGTTAATTGACTTTTGGTTATTAAAACAACCTTGCTTTCCTGGAATAAATCCCACTTGGTCATGGTGTATAATCCTTTTTATGTGTTGCAGAATTTGGTTGGCTAGTATTTTGTCTGTCATCTATATTCATAAAATGTGTGTGTGTGTGTGTATGTGTATCAGTATCTGTAGTTTTCTTTTCTTGTGATGTCATTGTCCGGTTTAGGTATCAGGGTAGCTCCAGTCGCATAAAATGTGTTAGAAAGTATTCCATACTCTTCTCTTTTCTGGAAGAGTTGGTAAAGGATTGGTATTGATTATTCTTAAATGTTTTGTAGTATTCAATATTTATCTTAAATGTTTTATATTGATAGTATGCAGTATTTTGCAGTACTGAAGCCATCTGAATCTCAGCTTTTCTTTGTGGGTAGTTTTTAAATTATTAATTCTGTCTCTTGTTATAGGTCTATTCAGATGTTTTATTTCTTCTTGAGCCGGTTTCAGTAATATGTGTCTTTCTAGGAACTTGTCTGTTTCTTCTGCATTATCTAATCTATTGTCATACAGTTCAGCCTTAAGGTACACTGTCAGTTTTCCTTGGTGTCTCTTTATTTTCTTTTCACGAAAGCCCAAACTTTAAAATTTGGTCTTATTTATTAATTGTGACATTGTAGAAAATTATACCAAAGAATATAAGGGCTTTTTCTTTGAAAATATTAGAATAATAATGAAATTATTATATAGTTTTTCTTATGTGATCTTGAGAATTTGTGAAGTCTTTAAGAAAAAATAAAATTCATTTTTATATCTTTGCAGGTTGGTATCATACGTGATCGTTTGATTCAGTTCATCTCTAAATTGCAGTTTGCTGTGACTTTACTTTTGGCATCATGGACAGAGAAAAAACAACGTCGAAAAACAACTACCACTTTATGCATACTCAACATTGTCTTTTCTCCATTTGTGTTGATCTTCATAGTTTTTTCTACACTACTCTCTTCTCCGTTACTACCCCTCTTCACCCTACCTGTGTTCTTGGTGGGGTTTCCCCGACCTATTCAGAGTTGGCCAGGAGCAGTGGGCACTACAGCCTGTGTATGTGCAGATACAGTGTACTACTATCAGATGGTCCCCAGGTTGACTGCTGCACTGCAAACTGCAATGGCAGCTGGAAGTTTAGGTAAGTAAATGGGTTGTGCTTGTGAAATCCTCACTAATGTATTTAAAGTGAAAAAGAAAAAGGAACACACAGAAAAACAATCTTTTGAACCAACCATAAAACAGCATAACAACCATAACACTTTGATGTGTAGGCAGAAACACTAAATGTGAAATAGAAGTATATTTCCTGCTCCTTTTTTTGAGGTAAACAAAGTTATAAAAATACTAAAGGAAAATTTCATTAAGGTGATTTGATGATGTTTAAATGCATTTTCTTGAATAAATTCAGATTATAGTTCCATTGAAACATGAAAACACCTTTCCCCAAGATTTTCATGAATTTATAATGAGTTCATGTCAAGTAGATGTAACAGTTTAGATCCATAAAGAGTGAAAGCTAGCTTTTACTCTTTATGCATCTAATAATATCAGACTGAAGAGTGTTTGAAAGTTTTGTTGCTACCTCACTAGTTATTGTATAGAGATTTAAGCAGTCAGACAAGGTTACTGTGCAAGATAACATAAAAACTTTAGTCAAAGATCCCAAAGTGAAGTACTATGCAAATATTAGCAAGAAAATAGATTTTTGATGGGAATGAACTAATTTTATGAGTTTTAATGCTTTTATTGCATAGTAATGGTAAATTTCAACAGTAATATACTTCTCTAGGTTGATTTTAGATAAGGTACAAGCTGATGACAATAGTGTGTCATCTCCTACCATATGTTTTAGCCATTAAAACTTGTTTTAGAAGTGGTAGATGAGCTGGGCGCGGTCGCTTACGCCTGTAATCCTAGCACTCTGGGAGGCCCAGGTGGGAGGATCACTCAAGGTCAGGAGTTCAAGATCAGCCTGAGAAAGAATGAGACCCCGTCTCTACTAAAAATAGAAAGAAATTGGCTGGACAACTAAAAATATGAAAAAATTAGCCGGGCATGGTGGCGCATGCCTGTAGTCCCAGCTACTCGGGAGGCTGAGGCAGTAGGATTGCCTGAGCCCAGGAGTTTGAGGTTGCTGTGAGCTAGGCTGACACCACGGCACTCTAGCCTGGGCAACAGAGCAAGACTCTGTCTCAAAAAACAAAAACAAAAAAAGAAGTGGTAGATGACTTCCTGGCAAATTGATTCTAGGCAGAGTAGCAATTTAAGGTTAGAATTTTAATAAAATCCTTACTTGGATTGAACCTTTCTACTTATCTATTATGTGAGATAATTTAGGGAAAAAAATTATTTTTATAGTATAAATTTTTCATGAGTAACCATTTTTATTTCTTGAAGGAAATATTCTACACTTTTAATAATTTTATCCAGTTCTAATTAATTTTCATCATATAATGCTGTCCTACTTTTTAAAATGCCTGTGGGGTTAAACTCATATCAGAAATAGTAATAAGGTAAAAATTATATATTATCAAATCGATTACACTCAACCAGGAAGTGTGTTATAAAGTATTTTCTGGTGGGAAAAAAAGCAAGGAGATAACATTTCACTCACATCCAATTGGCAAAAATGTACAAGTTTGACACTATTAAGTTTTGCTAGGGCATGGGGAACAAGAACTTTCAAACTCTAGTAGAAGGGAATATAAAGTCATACAACCACCTTAAAGAAGTAGATAGTCTGTAGTAAAGATATACATATTCCATGGCTCAGGAATTTCAATTTTAGATTCCATGATCCAGTGATTCCAATTCTAGAGAAACTCTAGTACATGTGCTTTGGGGGTCCTCAAGACCAATCCCAGATTTGATTATTCACTAGGAGAACTCAGGGTTAAGATTTATTACAGCAAAAGGATACAGAACAAAATCAGGAAAGAGAAAAGTCACATGGGGTAGAGGAGACCAGGTCAAGCTTCCAGGTGGAGTTACACAGAATGTACTTAATTCCCCAGCAACAAGTTGTGATATGTGTTATATGTTGACTGTCAGAGAAGCACATTTGAGACTCAATGCCCAGGGATTTTATTGTGGGCTGGTCGTGTAGGCACCCTCTGCCTATCACATGCCAATATGCTGGACTCCCAAAAGGAAAGCACGTGTTCAGAATATACTGTATTGTTTGCATAAACAGATATGATGAGAGACTCTTGGCAGGTAGGGTGGTTCCCAGATGCCAGCCAAGGGCCAATCTTGTAAGCAGGCCTTTTGAAGAATAGCAGTCAGTCCTGCTATGTTAACTCTTTTCTGTACCACATGTTGTACAAACAGGCTTGCAAAAAGATAATTTATGCAGCATTATTTATAATAGTGAAAAATTAGAAACATCTGAAATGTTTATCAACCAGGAAATGAATACTCAAATTCAACTATATTTATATAGTGAATTCTTGACAGCAGTTATAATGAGTGAACTTTAGCTGTTTGCAGTAAATATGGGCATGGTGTAGGCAGAAAGACTACAGTATTGAGAGGAAAAACTAAGCTTTAAAAGTATCTGTACAGTGTGGTAGCATTTTTTTAAATTTTCAAAACCATAAAACACTTTTATATATTTATATGCATGTATATAAAAATATCCAAAATGTTTAACATCATTAATGTGAAATTGGCTTTTCTATGTTTTATACTTTTCCTAATATGCTTAACATGTATTTAAGATTTTATATAACAGTTTCTAATTTGTTGTTTTTCTGGAAAATATACCCTTCAGTTTTTATGTATTATCGCCTGTAGACGTCTCTTCCAAACTGCCTTGTAAAATGCTGAATTTAATGCCTCCTGCTACACAATGAATAGTTATTTCTGTTCTTGACCAAATGAGGGGTAGAAGGAATCATGAATCAGTTCTAGATGTGTTACCAGTTTTGAAGATTCACATGGCAAAATAAAAGAAGCTTGAAAAATGGTTTTCTTCTTTTTATTTCTTAATTTGTTGTAGGTCTTCTCTCACCTGGGTCTCATTACTTGGGCCGTTTTCAGGATCGTTTAATATGGATAATGATTCTAGAATGTGGTTATACTTACTGCTGTATTAACATTAAGGTCAGCCTGCATTTGAAACTTCTCTAGTATTTTTATAGTACATATGTGAAATTTTAACCTTTATGTACACTCAAACACTTAATAGCTCAATTTGAAAGAAGAGTATGTTTTTAATTACCTGTGAAAACATCTTTTAAAAGTATAGTTCAAAAAGCACATATTGATAGGTAGACTAATGTTGATTATATAATAGAGCACAGTAACAAAATATATCTTCTTCCTTTTCTTCCAGTCCTATTCATTTTATCCCTGTCTAGCTGAGATCTCAAAAGTGTGAATCAGTAATTTATTTTATTTTATTTTTTTTGAGTCAAGGTCTTGCTTTGTTGCCCAGGGTAAAGTTCAGTGGCGAAATATCATAGCTCACAGCAGCTTCATACTTCTGGGTTCAAACAATCCTCCTGCCTTGGCCTCCAAAAGTGCTAGAATTCAGGCATGAGCCACCATGCCCAGCCTGAATCAGTAATATTTTTTAACTACTATATGAAATAAACAGTCTCAACTTAATAAAAACTGTCTCTGACCCCACTGCTCCTACCTGCTATACCTTATTTCTCTCCTTACTTGAAGAGCAAAATGCCTTACTAGAGATGTTTATTATCATATCTCCAATTTCATTTCTCCCATTCTATTTTCAATTTACTCTAGGTTTTTTACTCGTTACTCCACCAAAAGTGCTCTTGTTAAGGTCACCATGACTGCCACATTGCTAAAGCCAAGGATCGACTCTCAGACCTACTTATAAGCAGCATTTGACAGAGTTGATCTCTTCTCTTCACTTGTTTCATAGGTTGCTCCTTGTCAGCCTACTTTTATGGTTCCTTCTCTTTTCTTTGACCTCTTAATATCAGAGTGGCCCAGAGCCTAATAGTTCTTGGTGACAACTCTATCCTCCAAGAATACTGGAGTCATATTTGACTCCTTTTTTGTTTCTATATGCCACATCCAGTCTAACAAGTATAGGTCTTTTGTGCTCTGTGACATACGTGGTTTAAAAATATATTTTTTTGGTGGCAGTCTTTTTTCTTTCTTTTTTTTTAAGACAAGCTGGGTTAGGCTACACCGTCTATTAAGATTTACATAACACTTTAAAGTTCACAAGATTTACTTAATCTAATCTTCCCAACCCTATGTGCTAGGATTATTTTTCTTTGAAAGAGAAAGAAAAGGAATCTCACAGGGTCTTAGATGACCTACTCAAGGTATTTGCCTGTAGCTGGTAGAAACATGACTTAAAAACAGGTTTTGAGGGCTCAGATAGTTTTCTTAAAAATATATAAATAAATAAGCAATAATAATAATAATAATAATAAACAGTAGCTTGGTACATCCTCTTCAAGTTATTCCTTTTAAGGAAGTACTCAAAATGTGTTTAAAATTCACATAATAACCTATTTATAATATTCCTTTATTCAACATATATTTTGTGCATACCCACTATGTAACAGGTACTGGTTTAGGTACTGGGGATATCATAGTAAGCTAAAGAAAGCTGCTTTATTGAGTTTATATTGTAATTGGAGGACACAGACAGTAATCAAATAAATAAATCTGTATTATTATGTTGTCATAAAAATACTGGAACAGGAGAATGATAAATTCTGGCACATCCATACAATAGAATAATGTTATTAGTCTCATATGAAGTAGGGTAGAAAGGATACAAAACTACTGTACATAGTGTGTAATTCCAATTTTGCTTTTTTTCTTGCAAAAAATTTTAAAAGTTTTTAATGTATGCTTCAGCCTTGACTATAGATATAGTCTTTTAAAATTATGTTCATACTTAATAAGTTTGTTTGCCCAATTTCTAGTGAAATCTTTATAATATCTTTTAAAATAGTAGTATCATTATTTTTAATCTCTTTATCCAACATCAAATGTGTTAAGTGCCACTAAGTTTAAGTTAGGATGTAGTTCTTGAGTTAAAGAAATTTTTTTGTCATTTTCCATATTTTTATGATGAGAATCTATGGGCATTTATAGGACTAGTTACTGTATTCTCTGTAACCAATGATCATAAACTCAAGTACTTTTTATTTCCTTTTTAGGGGTTAGAATTGCAAGAAACATCCTGTCATACTGCAGAAGCTCGCAGAGTTGATGAAGTTTTTGAAAGTGCTTTTGAACAAGAAGAATACACAAAAGTTTGTTCCCTTAATGAACACTTTGGAAATGTCTTGACACCCTGTACTGTTTTGCCTGTGAAACTATATTCTGATGCCAGGAGTGTTCTATCTGGCATAATCGATTCTCATGAAAACTTAATGGAATTTAAAGGTGACCTTGTTAAAGTACTTGTGTGGATACTTATTCATTATTGCTCCAAAAGGCCTAGCATGGAGGAGAATGTTCACAAAACTGAAAATAAAGGGCAAGCACCTCTACTAATCTTGCCTGCTTTGAACACTTCACCATATTCCAAATCCCTAGAAGACTCAGATAGTTTAAATTCAGAAACTTTTGATGACTGGTCTGATGATGATATTTTTGATGATGAACCAACTATCAAAAAAGAAAAAGAAGAAAAAGATCAGCTGAAAGATTTTCCAGGTACAAATTTCCCTATTCCAGGATCAATAGTAGAATCACAAAGGGTTGGTGATCATTCTACAGGCACAGTTCCTGAAAACAATCTCTACAAAGCAGTTATACTAGGATACCCTGCTATTGACAAAGGAAAACAAGAAGACATAGCATATATCCCTCTCATGCAGTTTAGTTGTTCACATTCTCACTTATTAAGCTTACCCAAGGAGTGGAGGTCTGCCTGTATACCTAATTCCAAAATGAAGGAGATGAGCTCATTATTTCCAGAAGACTGGTACCAATTTGTTGTAAGGCAACTGGAATGTTTTCATTCAGAAGAAAAGGCCTCAAATGTACTGGAAGAAGTTGCAAAGGACAAAGTTTTAAAAGACTTTTATGTTCATACTGTAATGACTTGTTATTTTAGTCTATTTGGAATAGACAATATGATTCCTAGTCCTGGTCTTATACTGAGTGTTTACAGTGGTGTTTTGCCTTGGTCTGTTGCCTTGGATTGGCTCACAGAAAAACCGGAACTGTTCCAACTAGCACTGAAAGCATTCAGGTAACTAATTTTGATTATATATAAGTTGTTACATTGGCAGGAAAATGTTGATTTTTTTTTTAATCACCTAGAAGAAGAAAGTCCTTCATTTCTAATTTTTTTTACATTATTTTCTTAAAAATGAAAAGAAATGCTTAGTATGTATTATATCAGGAGTACATTTGTTTATATGGAGAACCTATTTTTCATATGGTTCACTGGATTTTTTCACTTTAACCGTATCATTTCACCCTCAACATTTTATCTGAATTATGTGTAATTTCAGTTCAATGTCTTAAAACCATTTATTGACAAAATCTGTTTCATCTATGAAGTCGATAGAAAATATTCTAAAATTCTTTGGTTATCCATTTCGTAGGTATACTCTGAAACTAATGATTGATAAAGCAAGTTTAGGCCCAATAGAAGACTTTAAAGAACTGACCAGCTTCCTTGAAGAATATGAAAGTGACTGGTACATTGGTTCGGTATCTGATGAAAAGTGGAAGGAAGCAATTTTACAAGAAAAGCCATACCTGTTTTCTCTGGGGTATGATCCTAGTATGGTAAGGTTAAAAATGTTTTTAAACATTTTTACACATTAATCTTAAAGAATGGAAATCAGTTATAAAGTATTTGAACTAAGTGATAGATGACATAACATTCTAGTTGCTGATATATTAATTATAGTTAAGGCATGTGTAATCATAACTTTAGAGGTGGTTCTTGATTCTGAATCTGAGTTTTGATATTGGTAGAAAGTTTGCCTAAATGCAATGAGATTTTTCTCTAAATTTTTAAATAAAATAGAAAGCCTGAATGTAATCTCTTTTCTTTATCTCCTCCTCCCCTGCCCTTTTATACTTTAAAGGGAGTTTACACTGGAAGAGTACTTACCCTTCAAGAATTATTGATCCAAGTTGGGAAGTTAAATGCTGAAGCTGTTAGAGGTCAGTGGGCCAATCTTTCATGGGAATTGCTTTATGCCACAAACGATGATGAGGAACGTTATAGTATACAAGCTCATCCACTACTTTTAAGAAACCTTACTATACAAGCGGCAGATCCTCCCCTGGGATATCCGATTTATTCTTCAAAACCTCTCCATATACGTTTATATTAGAGCCTACTTTGACTTGTGATGTAATGTCATCAAATGAAGTATTTATATTTTTCATCATAGAAAAGTTAGCAATGTGATTCCTGTGACTTCACTGGACTTTTCCCTGCCCCATTCAGATGCCTGAGAAAAGCTAAGCTCCTTAAACTTGATTCTTGAGACATCTTAATGGTTTAAAACATCTTTGTCTAATGTAAAAGTTAGAACTAGTTGGCCAATATTTGTGCCTTCTGGATTGTAATAGGCTTTGGTAAATATGATAAAACATTTGTATATTAGATAATGATTTTTTAATGTTTTCTTCAATGTGTGATAGTTGAGTTATCTTGCAAAAGTCAACAGCTATGTAATTTTTACATACTTAGAAGATATACATGTCAATGTTTTTAAGTGATGATAGTGGATCCTATTGAAGGGTAACATAATGTATATATATTTATTTGAAATATAATTAATTTTTATGGCATTTTCAAATGTGCTGTTTTACTTTAACATTTAACGTGGTCTGAATATTTTTATATATTTGTTTTCTTTTCATATACTTAAGATATCTTAAAAATTTTTAATAGAATCTTTTCCTTCCTTTACAGATATCCTTTTGATACACATGAAAGGAACAGGGTTCATCCTATTTATCATGTGAATACTCATAGGGAGAGCAATGTTAGGGTGATCTCAGTATGACTGCTAGAGGCCATTCCATAAATCTGAATCCTTCTGCATTTCTTTCAACTGAAGTTACTGCTTCTAAAGAATGATTAACCCATAAGACCACCAGTTACTAGTGTGTTAGGGTATATGAACCAAAGTCAGGAGATGAGAGGAAAATGTTTATAATGTGATTAGAGTTTTATTTTCATTCTCTTCCTGCTTAGGAACTCTTTACAGGTACTTACAAGGGGGATCAACAATGAATCTCCATCACTTGAGAGATGAATTTCCTCTACTCCTTACTTAATTTCCAACTAAATCTACAGGAGCCCCCTAGACTGGTAATACAGTAATGCATTCTCTTTAGAAATTATTTGAAATGTACCAGTTAGGTTTTTATTATTATTATTACTCCATTTATTTAGTATGTAGACCATTTCTCTCCATGAATGTTAAAGGTAACTTTTTGAACTAATTATCAGTTAATGAATTAATGAGATTTATGTGTTAACCTTTTCGCAGGGAGGCAATGTAGTATAGTTACTAAGAAGATAGTTTTATATTATATCTGAGCTCAGATCTCAGGCTCATCATTTACATAATTGAGATTTACTAGCTAGACAGTTATATATTTTTATGGTCATGTAGGAAAATTTTCTCATGTCACTAAAAATACTTTCTAATTATCAATTTTAATGACTTCCTAACATTCCATTGATAGATATAATTTATTGGACTGTCCCCCAAAATAATGGGAATTTTAAGTTCAGAGATTTTCACTATTATAATAATGTCAAGCCATGCCTTCCCTTGACCTTGCATCTTCCTCAAACTGCTCTCATATCTCCATTTCTTTCATGGCCAAGTTTCATTCACTTATCAAACCATTCCAATCTGGATTCTATTTACTATTCTATAAAATAAAATTTAAAAAAAGAGTTTTTATTAAGGTCACTGCTATTGACCTTCATATTGTCAAACCAGCTGGTCACTTTTATGCCCTTATTACTTGTCCTCTAAGTAACATTTGGCACATTGACCACTCCTTGAATTACCTTTTGTGTTTTCATTTGGCTTTCCTGTCACCATACTGTCTTTATTTTCTTTCTGTCTTCCTGGCAACTCCTCAATCACCTTTACTGCTTCTACTCTTCTACCTGACCTCTAAATTTTAGAATTTCTCAACAGTTGGTTCCAGGCCCCCTCTTCTTATTCTGCATTCACCATAAATAGTTTCATCTGCTCCCAAGACTTAAAATAGCGTCGATAAGTTGATGATGATCAAATATATGTACCTAACGCAACCTCTCTTCTTGCACTGAACCTATATATCTAAGTTATTTGATATTTCTACCTGATATATTAAAAACTGATCTTATTGTATTTTCCCTAAAACCTACTTTTCTACTTGCAAATTTTAGTAGTGTATAGGTAATTCACATCAACCATTTCATGGAGAACTGGGCAAAACAGTGTTTTTAAATTTGTTTAAAGGCATTAGAGAACCAAAAGAGAGTGAAGAATTACCTCACTAAGATCCAAGGCAAAATGATACTTAAGAGTTGAACTCAACGTTTGGGCTTCTTTTCTTCTAGTAGCACATGCCAATTCAGGCAAAAAGTGGTTGAGAATCTAAGAAGCTAAGTAGCCCTTTTAACAGCCTTACTAACTAGTTAGAGGGACAAAAATTGGAGTTCATGTCTCTCTTTAAGGAAGTTGGCTAGTGGGAGAACCCTGACCACACATTGAGTCAAAACTCACAAGGACTATATCCTAATTTTAAAAATGAACAAAAAAAATGATGCAGTTTGAATCTTCTCACTACCCAGAGCAAATGTAAATCCTCTCTGGACCGATCTTTTAAGTTTTTTTTTTTATAATTTTTCATATTTAATGTTGGGCGGTTAAAATAAGACATCTAAAGAAACATCAAAATCCAAGAGAAACAACAGACAATAGAAGCAGGTTGACAGGGGGCCCAAATAATAGAGTTACTAAACACAGGCTCTGAAATTATTACATTTAGTATATTTAAAGATCTAAAACACAAGATTGGGAATTTTGGCAATCAGAAACTATACAGAAGAATCAATTGGCAAGTCCCAAACTGAAAAATACATTAATCAAGTTTAAAAATTGAGTGAATGGACTTGATAGAAACTGGATAAGCTGAAGTAAGAATTAGTGAACAAGAAGTTAGTTCAGAAGTAAATATCTGATATGAAAAATGAAGAGACAAAAAAAATGGAAGATATAGTTGAGAAGATAAGAGACATGGGATCAACATGAGAAGATCTAACATACTGCAATTGGAATACCAGGAGGAGAGGAGAGAGAATATGACAGAGAACATTTGAGGAAATAACTGAGATTTTTCCAAATTTTTAAGGGGCATCAGGCCTTGCAAGATCCAAGCATGATAAATAAAAATAAAACTACACCTCAGCACATCATAAGAAAAAATAAAACACAAAAAGGAAATCATAAAAGTAGCCAGAAAGGCATAAAAGACATTCATTTTAAAGGAGCAACAATTGCATAAAACTGATAGCTAACTTCTCGACAGAAAATATGCCAACCAGAAATCAACAATGAATTTTCAAGTTTCTGAAAGAAAATCACTGCAAACTTAGAATACAATACCCAGCCTTTCCCCAGAAACAATTCTTCAAGAATGAAGGCAAATACACTTTTAAACACAGTAAATTCAATAGCAGATTCCCATTAAAAGAAATAGTGAAGAGTATTCTTCAAACAGAAAGAAAATGATCCCAGAAAAAAGCTTAGGGATAAAGGAATGAACATTAATAAAAAAAGGTAAATATATGGCTAAATCTAAGTAAATATTTACTATATAAAATAGTTTTGGAGGTTAAAATAATGTTAAAATACATGAAAATAATAGTATATAAGTTTGGTGTAGGAGTTCTGAGGTCCTTGCATTATCAGAAAGAAGTTGAAAGTACCAAATAATATTAGACTTTGCCATGTCATCTATAGGATAACCACTAAAAGAATAGCAAAGGCCAGGCGCGGTGGCTCATGCCTGTAATTCTAGCACTCTGGGAGGCCGAGGCGGGCGAATTGTTTGAGTTCAGGAGTTCGAGACCAGCCTGAGCAAGAGAAAGACCCCGTCTCTACTAAAAAAAATGCAAAGAAATTATCTGGACAACTGAAAATATATAGAAAAAATTAGCCGGGCATGGTGGCGCATGCCTGTAGTCCCAAGTACTCGGGAGGCTGAGGCAGTAGGATTGCTTGAGCCCAGAGTTTGAGGTTGCTGTGAGCTAGACTAACGCCACGGCACTCACTCTAGCCAGGGCAACAGAGACTCTGTCTCAAAAAAAAAAAAAAAAGAATAGCAAAAAACAAAACAAAACAAAAACAAGTGTATAACTACTAAGGTAATAGAGGGGGAAAGTGAAATAATAAGGCAAAAAAGGAGAGAAAAAATATAAAACAGGACAAATGGAAATCAAATAGAAGATTAGGAGATTTAAACTTAAATATCTATTGTTGCATTAAGTGTGAATGGACTGAATGCTTCAATTAAATTCAAAGAATATCAAACTGAAAAAAAAGAAACAAAACCCACAAGGTACCCTTTATAAGAGACATACCTTAAATTTAGGAATACAGAAGGTTGTAAGTAAACAAGAATAGAAAAGGTTACAGTATGAAATACAAAAAAAAAAAAAAAAATGGGGAAGAGGGCTTTTGTAGCTATAGCAACGTCATTCAATGTAGACTTTAAGGTAAAAAGTATTATAAAGAGAGACACTTAGTAATGATAAAAGATTTGATTCACCAGAAAAGTTCAACAGTTCTAATTTTTTAATGATCTAGTAATATAGCCTCAAATATTTAAGCAAAAATGAACAGAATTAAAAGGAGTAAAGGCAAATCCTCATTCATAGTAGATTTTAATATACTTACCTAACTCAGTAACTGAAAGAACAACACACACACACAAATAAGTACATATGTAAAGACTGGAATAAGATTTAAAAACTTAATATAATTGGCATATATAGAACATAATACCCAACAATTGAAAAGTATACACTTTTCAAATGCACATGGGATATTTACCAAAATTGACCGTAATCTGGGTCATAAGAACAGAGTGTATTCTTTGGCCATGTGTCATTCAGCTAGAAATCAATTAATAATTAGAAAGTAGAAAATATAAGTTCAGAAATTAACATTTCTAAATAACTCATGGATCAAACAATAAATTACAATGAAAATTTTATATTTGAACTGAATAGTGAAAGTGCTGCATCAAAACTTA